ACTTCTTTTCTCAAAGACTTTGTGGTATGTTAGTTTAGAGTTCTTAGTTCTGACAAGAGGAATGCTTTTACATGGGAAAACAGTATTGGTTCAGTAAACTGGATGTTGAGCAAACTGGCTACTTTGGCTTCCTCATGCCAGTGAACTAACAGGCAAAGCAAGAGGCTACTGTATTGGTTAGGGTGATTGATCTCGAGTCTCATGTGGAAATCGGATTGCAACTACACAATGGGGGCAAAGAGGAGTATGTCTGGAAAGCAGATCTCTGGAGTGCCTCTTAGCACTCCCATGTCCTTTGATAAAAGTTAATGGAAAACTAAAACAAAACAATACAGGCAAGGCTGTTAATGGCAGAGAAGGTTTGAGTCAACCTACCAGCAAGAAACACAACCAGATGAGATGATTGCTGACGGCAAGTTGAATATGTAGTGGATAGTAGTAGAAGAATATTATAGACACCAAGTATGACTTCGTGACCAATTACAGAGTGAAAACTCATAATAGTTATGAATATTTCTGTTGTACCTTAATATTTGTGTATATATTAACCAATTTTCTTAAAATTTAGCCATAAATTTTTCCCATTAGTTATTACACAAATGCTGCCTAGTGTCATCATCCAAGTGGCATAATCATTTTATGTCCACAGTTCACTTCTGTAATTACAGAATATTCATGATTTACATAAGTACATCTATTAGTGAAGGCTTAACATCAAGATACAATCTACCATCCATAATATCTGATGTTTTGCAGATAGCAGTATAAAAGAGATGTATTTTTAATCACCTTTTCATTTGAGTCACCTTATGTAAAAGTAAGTCAGTAACTTAGACGTTTTAAGTCTCTAAAGGAGATTTTCTGATGTGCTCATAGAAATGGGTAGACAGTAAGATTGTCAGAAAACAACTTACATGTCCACACCCTCTTGCAATTTCTGTACCATTTTTTGTCTTCCAGCTGCTTTCCTTTGCATGCAGAAGTGGCCCATGTGAGATAGATGTTTTGCTTGACTTTGATGTTCTGAGCTTTCTGTAGTTAGTTATTTTTCTGCAGCCTATTCATTATCAGTTGAGTTTGATGTTCTATTTGATCTCTTTGACTATCGTCATTGCCTCAGTCTTATCAATTGGTTCATTCTCCAGCTCTCATTGACATTTGACAAGTTTATTTCAGCGTTTTTCAGATCCAAACGAATTATCCATTGTTAGCTCATTACCAGCTGCTTTACAGAATGCTTTAGTCCATCTGACCTTGCAAGGATTGTGTTTTTTTGTAAAGTTTTATGACACTTGGATTTACAAAACCTGAACACCTTGCGGTTGTGGATAAACATGCAGTAGCTGCGGTATATGGGCCCCATACAGAAATAACACTTCATGACATTCATTTTGAACTTCCGTGGGTACCCATCACCCAAACACCAAGCTTGAAAGGAAGCCATACTTAAATTTGTTGTATTTTATGTATTTCATACTTTAATAAAGCTGCCTTCTCCCTTTGCCAAATGAGATGGTCCCTAGCATCCTCCAAAACTGGCTAATGACTTTTAGTTTTATTTTTTAGTATTGTTACAGACTATGCATAATTCCATTATAGTTATCCTCATTGAAGTTTACATCATCCCATCGTTGGCGTATAGCAGCTTATTGCAGTTGATTTCTGAGTCCTTTTGACATGACCCTAGAGTAGTCCGTGGCCCTTCTACATTCTTTGTGATATAGATGTCCCAAATGCATTTTGTACATTTTTTGTTTTAGTCCTGTAGCCATCTAGGAGTCCTGATTCCTTGCCTTGGAGAGTAGTATGAGAGATTATAATTTGAATAATGAGTGGTACTGCATAGCTGCTAGGCAGTCATTGTTTTCAGACCTTTTATTTTCTCTTCTCCTCTTCAGCTTTACTGAGGTATAATTGACAAATAAAATTGTAAGATATTTGAAGTCTACATCGTGATAATTTGATATAAACATACATTGTAAAAGAATTTCTCCCATTGAGTTAATACATTCGTCACCACACTATTTATTTATTTATTTACTTATTTATTTATTTGGTGAGAACATTTAAGTTTTACTCTTTTAGCACGTTTCAGTTATATAATACAATGTTACCAACTATAGTTACCATGTTTTGTACATTTAAGCCTTTTCATTGGACATGGCTAGTATATTGATACATGATATGAAAAAAAACAAATTGGGTTCAAACTGATGCTTTCTGTTTAAATCCAGAACTACAGGCTTTTCCTTAACTTTGTCTGTCTTACATTAGAATTTTTTTTTTTAAAGACTTTATTTATTTTTAGAGCGAGGGGAAGGGAGGAAGAAAGGGAGAGAAACATCAATGTGTGGTTGCCTCTCATGCGCTCCCTACCAGGGACCCAGCCTGCAACCCAGGCACGTGCCCCAGACCGGGAAATGAACCAGCAACCCTGTGGTTCATAGGCTGGCGCTCAATCCACTGAGCCACACCAGCCAGGGCTAGAATTTCTTTTGACCCATACCAAAAATCTCAGTTCTCAAGGACAAAACATAATGAATAACTTCCTTTATCTCACACTATTCAAACAACAGTCTCAGGATAATTCCAAAACTACCATCTGCAATAAAATAATTGAAAACAGTTTCAGTTTTTTTTTTTTCCTTTTTCAGTTATTTTTGTCCTAAGGATAAATCCCATTACAAATATACAATCAAATTACTGTGCTTTGAAGTGACTTTTGGAATGTTTCCTCTCTGGTTAAGACCCTAATTAGATGCATAGTTAGGCTTGTTGATTAAATTTATATTTAATTTTGGGGGATTCCTTTTTAAATTTTAATTTTGTTTCATAATTGTGTGAATTATTTACATAGTTCATAAAAGAAATCTGCAAAGGAGGGCAGTGTTTAAAGAATTTTATCCATGTTCCTTCTAACTTAAGCCCTCACCCATATATAATTTAAAAAAATGGAATGGTTTATTTTTTTTAATGAATATAAGCATATATTTTTCTATCTTTCCCCCGAAGTTAAATAGTAGCATTCTGTAAACATTTTTTTCCATCTTGTTTTTTCACCTTAGCAATAATCTGCAGATCATGATGTAGTGGTAATAATGATATTCCTCAACATTACTTAGTATAATAGTTCCCTCTTATCCATGGGAGATATGCTCCAAACCCCTAGTGCATACCTGAAACTGGGGATAATACCAAATTCTACATGTACTATATATTTTTTATACTACATTTATACCTGTGATAAAGTTCAATTTATAAATTAGTTATAGTAAGAGATTAACAACAATAACTAATAGAATAGAATAATATAACAATATAGTATAATAAAAGTTATGTCGATCTGGTCTCTGTTTGTGTCTTGCACCCATAAATTTAATGCCTTTTCCATCTTAACTAAGCCCTTATCATGTACCATAAATGTTACAGTTTGAGGTGCTATGGCAAAACTAACGTGAATTTTGTTTTCCTTCACAATTTTACAGGTAGAAAAATCATTCTTACCATAGATCTTAGCAGCCTCAGTATACAAATTATTTTCCTTACTAAGTCAAGAACTTTTCACTTAAAGGGAGCTTTTTATGGCTTCTCTTTGGCATATCTCAATCGCCAGCATCACTATTGCACTTTGGGGCCATTATTAAGTAAAAGAAGTGTTACTTGAACACAAGCACTGCTTGTGAACTGTTATATCTCCGTTCCATTTTTTCCCCTATCGAATCTTGGCCTTTCTTCATTTTTAGATTATGATATTTACCCTTAGTGATATAAGTTGCTGCCCCTTCAACCCCCATAGTTCACCACTCATTGAACTTCACTCTGAACTTTGCTTTGAACTTGGCTCACCATCTTACTCTAAGTTAGGTATAGGAGTTTGGGAAGAATGGGTGAATGGAGAATTGGCTCAAAAGATTAACAGTAGTTTTTGTCGAGATGAAAGGCTTGAACATAATAGATAACAGGGAGGTGGGATTTCTGATGTGATTAATGTAAATAGAATATAAGGTGGAATGAATTTAGTCCATATCTTTGTTAGTGGGTATTTTGATTTTTTTTGTTAACATTTGTTAAGTAGAACCTTGGGATGTCATCAGATGGTGAGCCAAAGTTCAACAAAAGACTGAAAGGAAAAAGGAATAGAGAAGTTTATTATTCATAGGTTCTGGAGGAGGTATACAGTATGCCTTGAGGATACACGTGGGGAGGCTAGTGCAGGGTGTGCGTAGTGAGTAGCAGGACCTGGGGCAGATGCCTTCATTAGGGTCTGTGGGTAGAGTGCTTTGGGGTTCCTGGGCTAAGGCTGGCTTGGTCAGTCCAAACCAAAAAGAGCAGGTTTTTGATAATCTCTAGTGGTGATGGGATCTTATCTAAGGGGAACAAAAGGAGAAGGAGCTGGGAGGTAGAAGAGACTATTTATCACAAGGGGCCTTGGGGGATTCATATCAGGGACACGTATTTACTGTGCTAGTTTGAAGCTTCAGGACAATGTTGAATATGAGTAGTGAAAGTGGACATTTTTGTCTTGTTCCTATTTTAGTGGAAAACATTGTCTTTTACTCTTGAGGGCTGTTACATGCTTGCTTGAGGGGCTAGTGTCAGTTCAAGAGCCCTGCAGGCCCATTAGACACACAGAATAGATGCCAAGGCAGCAATATAAAAAGTTTAGCTTAACTCTCAACAGTGGGTTGGGAGCTTGGGCTGCCATAAGGTCCTAAAGATAGATTGGGTGGTTGAGGGGCTTTATGCAACTTAGCACCAACTATAACAGTGTGCCTCTGATGTCAGTTGCTTGGTGGCTCCTTTAGTGGACCTCAGTGGATGGGCTACTCAGGAGGAAGTAGTACACATCTGGCTGATAGGGATTTCTGCCATGGCTTTACAGGTGTCCTGAGACTATCAGATTGGTCTGACAATTTTTTTGATTCAGTTGGGGTTTTCAATAGAATATGTGTTTAATTAATGTTAACATAATTAAGTATTGGTTATTTTTCTTATTTCAGGCTACAGACAAGAGAAAAGCTTTAGAAGAGACCAAAGCCTACACAACCCAATCCTTAGCTAGTGTTGCTTATCAAATAAATGCATTGGCCAACAATGTACTCCAATTGCTGGACATCCAAGCCTCTCAGCTTCGGAGAATGGAGTCTTCCATCAATCACATCTCCCAGGTAACAACAGCTTGTAAACAGCTTTAAATTTACCTTTAAGCAACTGGCAGCATATGTCAAATGAGTAGATAACCTGGATATATGGATTCCATATTCATCTTCTTACTGATTGACTATAGTTATTACCACTTTCAGCTTTAGCTTTGAGTTCAGTAAGCCTACATTTTAACCATTTTTAAGAGTATAGTTCATTGGCATTAATTATAGTCACATTGTTGTGCAGCCATCACCACTTACCCTGTTCCTCTTTTAAGACTTTCTTGAAGGTTCGATTCCTAGCAGAACATATGCTTGGGTTGCAGGCCGGGTCCTCCAGTAAGGGGTATGCGAGAGGCAACCACACATTGATATTTCTCTCCCTTTCTTTCTCCCTTCCTTCCCCTCTGTCTAAAAACAAACAAACAAACAAATAAATAAATAAAATCTTTAAAAAAAAAGATACTCCATTTAAAAAAAAGACCTGAAGTAAAATAAGTTGAACACAATTAAAGCATAGAGTTTTATAAAATTTGGTACATACATTATCTGTGAGACCATCAGTACTCTCCAGATGATGAACATCCTCCCAAAATTTCAACATACCCCTTTGTTATCCCTCTTTTCCATTCCCTGTTCTCAGGCTTTCTGTCACTGTGGATTAGTTTACATTTTTAAAAATCTTATGTAAATGGTATATACTATTTTTTGTTTGGTTACTTTTTTCTTTTAATGATTGGGCAAAGTTTATTTCAGGAATGCGAAGATAGATTTTTCTAATAGTGAACAACCAGTGTAATCCACTAACTTAATCACATCATCATCATCATCATCATTATTATTATTATTTATTTATTTTTGCTGACTACTTTCAATCAGCATAAGTATTTTTAGATTCATCCATGTTGTATGTAAAAATGGTTCACTCCTTTTTATTGCTGAGTACTGTTCCACATTTTGTTTATCCACATGTTGATGGACATCTGGATTGTTTTCAGGTTTTGTCTATTACAAATGAAACTGTAAACATTTGTATAAACATCTTTATATGATTGTGTGTTTTTCTCTTGTGTAAATTAAGTATCAGTGAATGGAATGGCTAGGTCACATGGTAGATGTCTGTTTAACAGTATAACCAAATTTATAGAGTTCTGGTTGCCTCACATTCCCACCAGCACTTGTTCTGGTCAGTCTTTTTAATTTTAGCCATTGTAATAGGTGTGTAGCAGTGTCTTACTGTGATTTTTATGTCCATTTCCCAATGATTAATGAAGTTGAACATCTTTTCATGCGATTTCTCTAGATTTCAGTATTTAAGCCTTGCATATCTTTGTTAGATTTATCCCAAAGTATATGCATTTTTTTATGGCTTTCTATACCTTTATTCTCATTCCTGGAAACAAACTCATGTAGGATTAATTTCATGTAAAAACAATTATATTATGTACTTTAATTTACAATTTGATTTTTCCATTTAACAATACACATGTGCATCCCATCAGAACAAGACATAGCTGAAACACATACCTTTTAAAATTTATTTATCTTATTGTTGTTGAGTTACAGTTGTCCCAGTCCCCACCCCTGTTGCTCCACATTTTGTTTATCCACGTGTTGATGGACATCTGGATTGTAAATGTATAGACTATAATCATAGTAAAAGACTGAATGCTCCCCCCCCCCGCATCCCATCCTATCCAACCCGTACTCACAAAGACATCCCCCACTCCATTGTCCTTGTCCATGGGTCTTTTGTACACGTTCCTTGACTTGACCCTTCCTCTTCTTTCCCCTGTTATCCTCCTCCTCCCTCCTTTCTGGTCACTGTCAGTTTGTTCTTTATTTCCATGTCTGTGGCTCATTTGTTTGTTTTGTTGATTAGGTTCCACTTGTAGGGGAGATCATATGGTATTTGTCGTTCACTGCCTGGCTTATTTCACCTAGTGTAATGCTCTCCAGTTCCATCCATGCTGTTGCAAAGAGTAGGAGTTCTTTCTTTCTGCTGGATAGTATTCCATTGTGTAAAGGTACCACAGTTTTTTGATCTATTCATTTACTGATGGGCACTTAGGCTGTTTCCAGCACTTGGCTATTGTAAGTATATACGTTTTTGATATTATTTTTATAATCTCAACTTGATTATTTCTTGTTTATATGTACAGAAATACAATTGGTATTGATACACTTTGTGTCCTTGTTAAAGTCATTAATAGTTACAGTAGTTATTGTATAGATTCATTGGATTTTCTATTGTGCCTAAAAGATCATGTTATAAAAACAAGTTTGACTTGTTTCCTTTTCTATTTTCCTTGCTTTTCTCTTTTTATTTTTGCCTTACTGCACTTGTTTGAAGCTTCAAGACAATGTTGAATGTGAGTAGTGAAAGTGGACATTTTTGTCTTGTTCATATTTTAATGGAAAGCATTCAGTCTTTTACTGTGATTATAGTCTATATGTTTTCAGAAATATGCTTTATGCAGAAATTGCTTTCTATTGCTAGTTTGGTTTTTATCAGAAATGGATAATGGGTTTTGTCACATACTTTTTGTGTCTATTGAAATGATCATGTGTATATTTTTTGGTCGGTTAATGTGGTGAATTACATTTTTTCTTTGAATGTTAAACTGGCTTTGCTTTCCTGGGACAGACTCTACTTGACTGTTATGTATTACCCATTTCATAGATTATTAGACTTAATTTGTTAAAGTTTGGTTAATAACTTTTGCTTCTATGCTCCTGAGAGTTACTTGTCTGTAGATTTCTTGTAATGCCTGGTTTTGATGTCAGTATAAATCTGGTCTTATAGAATATATTGGACAGTATTCCCTCATCTTCAATTTTATGGAGAAGTATGGGTGGAATTGGTACTTGTTCTTTAAATGTTTGGCGGAATTCACCAGTGAAGCCATCTGGAGCTAGAATTATCTTGGTACAGAGGTTTTTAACTATATATGTAATTCTGTAGATATAGAGCTATTCTATTTGTTTCATATTGAGTGAAACTTTGTGTTTTTCCAAGATTATTTGTCCATGTCACTGAAGTTGTCATATATATTTGCATAAAGCTGTTAATGTTCTCTTATTTTAATAATTATTAGAAGCTATAGTGATATCACATTACTAATTTTTGATCTTGGTAACTGGTACCTTCTCTCTTTAACTTATCAGTATGGTTAGTTTGTCAAAAAAAAAAACTCAGCTTCTGGCTTCATAAATCTCTGTTGTTTTTCTGTTTTCTATAGTGTTGATTTTCATTTTGATCTTAATTATTTCTTTTCCTTATTTTGGGATTAATTTTTTATATTTTCATAGTAAAAACTGAAGTCATTGAGAATTTTTGTATCTTTTTTCTTTCCATCTCTTTTTTTTTTAATCCTCAGCCAAGGACCTTTTTTCATTGCTTTTTTTTTTTTTTTAGAGAGATAGGAAGGGAGAGAGAGAAACATCGATACAAGAGAGAAGCATCAATTGGTTGCCTCCCATAGTGCCTAGCCCTAAGGATCATATGTGCCTGGACTGGGAATCAGACCCATAACCTAGGTATATGCCTTGACCAGGAATTGAACCTGCAACCTTTAGGTTATGGGATGTCGCTCCAACCAACTGAGCCACTCTGACCAGGGCATTTTGTCTTTTCTAATATAGGTGTTTTAGCTTTGTACATTTCCATCAGGTGTGTTATCTGTAACTCATAAATTTAGATATGTTGTGTTTTCATTTTTATTTAGTGCAAAGCAGTTTCTAATTCTGCCTTTTGATTTCTTCTTTGACACGTGGGTTATTTGAGAATGAGTTATTTAGTTTCCAAGTATTATAAGATTTTCGAAGGATCTTTTTGCTATTGATTTCTAATTAAATACAAAATAGAAAATATTTGTTATATGATTTCAGTCTCTTCAAATTTATTAAGAATTGTTCTATAACTGAGAATATAGTCTATCTTGGTAAATGTTTTGTGTGCATTTGGGAAGAATATATATTTTGTTACTGTTACGTGGAATATTCTATAAATTTCATTAGGCCAAGTTGGTTGTTAATATAGTTCGTTTTATATCCTTTCTGTCTACTTTCTTTATTAATTATTAAGGAAGGTATGTTGTAGTCTCTAACTGTAATTTCGAATTAGTCTGTTTCTCTCTGAATTTTTATCATTTTTTGTTTTATATATTTTGAAACTGTGTTATTAGGTGCATAAATGCTTAGGTTTGTACTGTTCTACTGATAAAGAATTGACTCCTTTATCATTCTGAAGACTCTTTTTTTAATCATGGGTAAACCTAGGTTTTACAAACTAAGCAAACCTAGTTATTACAACCACTAGGGAGATAGAGTAGGTTCCTTGGAAGTGCTAAGGTCCTGGGTTCTTAAATTTTTGTTCTTAGTCTCCCTTAATATATTAATTATAAGGATCTAAAAGGGCTTTGATTTACTTGGGGAGATCTTCTAGTACTTATCATAACAGAAATTAAAACTAGTAAGTTAAAAAAATTATGTTAACTCATTTAACAGTGAAATAAACTTATGAACTGTTAATACAAATAACATTTTAATGAAAAATAATTGTTATCCAAAATAAATAAAGTCTGTGAGAAGAATGTCATTTTTTTCCCCATCCTTTCCTCAATGATATTTTATTGAGAGAGATAAAACGATTATTTTAGAGAGAGAGAAGAGGGGGGCCGAAAGAGAAAGACAGAGAGGGAGTAAAACATCGATTGGTTGCCTCCTTGTATGGTCCCTTACTAGGGATTGAACCCTGCAACCTTTTGGTGTGAATGAGATGATGCTCCTACTAACTGAGCCACCTAGCCAGGGCAAGAGTGGTGGAATTCTTTCCATTTCTGCAAATCTTTAAAATAGTTTGTTTAATAAAAGATGGATTCTTATATTTGTGGTTGCATGCAGTCTGTTGTGATTTGTTGTTTTGTTTGAAGTATATGAAGAAAGTCTGGTGTATACAAAAACATACAGGGTCCGGCACAAATAATGCCCCTTTTTTATTAAAAAATCTTTTATTACAAAAT